GAATTTTTATTCACCCCCTTTTTATGATCATGACCCTACATAAAATCCAGCACAAGTTGAAAAACGCATAATTATCAAACGGACTCCACATTTCTGTAATGTGATCTCATTGTGAATTCATCTGTTCTGTGAAGGCAGAGCAACACAGCAGGCAGGTCAGAAATCAAGACACTGAGAAGTTTGAAGCAGGTTTAGGTTATGAAACAACATCCCACGCTTCAACCAACACACAGAGCCTTGTTCAACCGAACTGGAAAAAAATAGAATTAAAATAAATATATATATTTAAATAAAAATTCATATGTTTGTATACATGTGTGTCTGTGTTGCCCTGCGACAGACTGGCGACCTGTCCAGGATGTACCCCGCCTCTCGCCCGGAACGTTAGCTGGAGATAGGCACCAGCACCCCTCCCGACCCCACTGAGGGACAAGGGTGTTCAGAAAATGGATGGATGGATGGATGTTTGTATACAGGAAATGAAAATGAAAAAAGAAGAAGTCCTTTCTGTGACTCAGAAAGCACTCTTCAAAATACTCCGCTATGCCATTTCAGTAATTAAAACCCCTGATTTAAACTAATATGGCCAGGAAAGGTGAGAATACTTTTTTCACAATTTGCATTGAAGTTTAAACACAGTTAAAATCCAACTGATTCAGCTCTAATACTCTTAAAAAAAAATTATATATATATATATATATATATATATATATATATACTACTAAACTACTTTATCTACAAAGCCGGCCAAATACAACAAAGTTATTTAGCTTTTTATTTAGGAGAAATTATATATACAATGTCTGTAATTATAAGCACATGATTTTATATTTTTTAACAAACAAATTGGTTCCCCTTATTTTAAAAAATAATATTAATGAATATTTTTATGGTATTTTGTTTTGTGTTGATCTGAATGGACTGTTCACAACAGAAGAAGTTTCATATTTCACACTGGGACCACTCTGTCTAAAGACTGACAATATTTACTGCTGGTGTAAACGAGCTGCTGAGAGTTTGAAGAGTTTTTTCAAGCCGTCTTTGTTTATGAGCAAGGATTTCAGCTAAAGGGCCTGTGGGAAATCAGCCAAGCGTCTGTGACTGTGTCGGGCCCCTACGGCTCTTAGAGAAATTTGCTGCTTTGATTCACGTGACATGGAGGACCACATGTCAGTTCTCCTTCCAGACGAGCACCTGCTGCAAGGATCAGGAGAAAAACAAGGGAAATGACTCAGCATGAGTGTTGCTGGTCTTACCTGAAGTCATTGTTCTCTCCTGCTGGCCCCTCAGACTGAGTCTGGCTATGAGCCGCGCTCCCAGGCGAGGCGGTCTTCTGGGGCTGAGGCTTCAGACTGGGTTTGTGACTCAGGTTTGGGGTCAGGTTGGGGCTAAGAGTTGGTTTAAGGTAAGGCTGCGGGCTCTGGGGGTTGATCAGGAGGAACGAGGGCTCTGACGAGGAATGCGGCAAGGCGTTACCGCTGTGAGGAGCCGGAATGCAAACAGGGATCAAATCTATTTCCTTAGACGATTCCAGTGGGACTTTGGCTGGCTTCGAGGCTGTTCTAGTCCCAAGAGCAGTTGGTCTGGGCCGACTTATGCTTGACAGTGGAGGAGTGAGTCGATCCTCCCCGGACTGCAGCCGGCCTGTCCCTTTGGTAGGCGCCTGTGTGAGGTCCGGTCCCGACTGTGTCTTGAGCCCCTCCGATGGATTGAGTAGATGTGGCTCCGGGACGGCAGGCTGTGGAGGTAAAGCTGGACTCGCTCTGATCACTGCGCAGGGTCCAGGCAGCATGCTGGGACCACAAGGGTCTGAGCCCAGCTGCTTCTGCGGAAGGCGATCCATCAGCCTGCAACAGGATGCAGAGAGCAGTTCTCAAAAAGAAAAGCCATGCAACATTCAAAATGCATCGAATAGAACATTAGTTTTCAAGTCCTTACTGTTAAAAAATTGTTATATCAGGATCAATTTTTAAATTAAGTTGTCAAACTCAAGGTCCGGGGGCCAAATCTGGCTCACCATCACATTTTATGTGGCTCTCTATTGTCTAAAGGGACACATTTATAAAACCTTTAAGGTAACAGTTATGTGTGTAAATAATATTTAATCAATCAAATCAAAACAGCTTTCATCTGTATATCACCAAATTACATCAATATGGAAAGATGTTAAATATAATTTAATTTTAAGAGTTACTCACTGAGACTATTCATTCATGTTTGAATGGTTTCTTAAGTGTTTTTATCAAAAAGTCTGCGACAACCAGCCCATTGAAGAACTTCACAATCCTGACATGGTCCAAAATGAAAATGAGTTTGAAACCCCTGGACCAGAAGTAGTGCATGATCACAAGGTGGAAGAAGAAATTAAATGATGCATTGTTTTAAAAAATTATTTTACAAACACAAATCCAAAGTGGTGCGCTGTGCAGACATGCTCACCGACTTCTGGGTTGTTACTTCAAACAACTGGACTCGACTGCAATTAAACCTGCAAGATTAAACCAGCTCTATCCATCAACAGACTTGATGACGTTTGTTCATGTTCTAACAAACCTCTGAGGAAATCGCAGAGCCGTTGGGTTTATTCTGATATGGATTACTGACCATATCACTGCATAACTGGGCTGTAGCTAACTTTTTTTTTTTTTTTTGTCTTACCTTTTTAAGTGGAGTTAAATTTCCTGGTGATGCTCATTAGCCCTTGACCCCTTCATAGATGTAGTGTATTATTACGTTTCTGATTGCATAAGTAAAAATTGCATTATGACACACAGCTGTGCTGCTGATAATAGTCCACTTCAAAGCATGTCAGACAGGCTGCTGCAGGTCACAGGAAGAGGATGGATTACATTAAAGGAGGGCGGCAGACCTACCTCCATTTTACTGTCTGTGAGCCCAACACAGAAATCATACACCTCTCCTTCAATTATTCAACATATGCAAATGTGTCTCTCCGTCAAACAGAGAAACTCAGCTCCTAACATCGCAGAATGAGCTAATAGTGACCAGACACGTTTGGATTCACTTTCAAAGTCAAAACTTTCACAGCCAGCATGAAGTCGGCCTTATTTAATATTCCAACCCCATGAGTCTGCAAGTCTGAACAGCAGGTTTATGTTACAAGACGACGGAAACGTGAGACAACATCAACTGGAACAGTGAGCATCAAATCAAATCTTACCTTTTGTGCGTATTTTTAAGTCCAAGGTGAACCACAAGGGTGATATCACGAAGGAACTGAAAAGAACAACATGAATCTCGGTTTTCTCCAGTAGCACACACCGACCAAAGACACCAGACTGTCACCAACAAGCCGGGATCGATTAAGGGACCGGAGGCAGCCCGCAGCAGGTCGAACCTGTCGGTTCCGTTGACAGCCGACGTCTCGTCACGGCGCAGTCAGGACAGAGAGCCGTCACGCGTCGTGCGCCCGAACCCTTTGCATGTTCATAATTTGTGCTACACTAATAAAACAGATCACAAAAACCCCCCCCCCACAAAACACTGAATCCACACTGCATCACCATGATCCTGCATGCTGTCTAAGTGCAGCGCAGTTGGTCGCAGCATCACGGCTGTACCTCCACCTCACCGACCCGGCTGCACCTCTCCATCCTCCCTCCTCCCCTCCCTTCACGGCTGCTGGGGGCGGGCAGAACAGGGCAGAGAAATTTAAAGCTGCCAAAGTACAGCCGGACAGAAATAACAGTGCATCTGTCCTGCGGGTGATTCATTAATCCGATAACTGTGCGTCACTGAAAGGCAGCATCAATCAACATATCAATAAACTATGATTTACTTGCTTCGGATATAGTAGTGGTACGAACTTTTATATACCAGGCTGAGCTGGTGTATTTAAACGAGCACTTTTGATCATGACAATCTTTAAAACAAAGTGTGTTTTATTCCCGTATGTTGGCTGGCAACATATTGATCATCGTTCTGTTTAAATCACAAGGGCAACGTATGTTGTTGGGGGTTGTTGTTCTGATGCCCCAAATGGCAATTTAATACTTAAGCGCTGATCATCTATAAAACATTCGTCAAGTTTAGTTCAAACTGTTTAAAATGTAATAAAGAGCAAAGGGAGTGAGGCAAAAATTGCATTTATACAAGTTAATGATCAATATTATGTAGAAATATCTCTGCACATGCATGAAATGCATTGATAAATTGGAGTGGGATCAGGATTTCTGTTATTAGTAGCGTTATGTAATGATTCCAGTTTTCTATTTTTTTATATTCTAGAATACTTTGGTTATATTACATTTCACCTGCAATCCAATGCACAAAATATTTTAATGAAACAGAGAAAGTGTCTGATTTTTGTGGAAAATAGATCTGTAAATAATTCTCCAAAACACAAAAACAAAAAAACAAAAAAAAATGGGGGGAAGGCTTTAATTTTAATTTATTAAATGTCTCACCTCATCAAAACTTGCACCAAAACAACTTTTAAAAATGTTTTTTTTTTTTTGCATCAACCAAATTTATGCTCATTGGACAGCCACGCTTTAAATGCTCTGAGGAATCAAAGATGAACTGGAGAAATCTAGGATGTTAAAACAAGGTTTTAATATCATGGACACATTTTAATTGTCAGGCTAAGCATATTTTAAAATGCTTCATGTTTACTGTCTAAAACTGAGGACAATAGATTGAATAATTTAATTAATAATGTATTAAATTATTATTATTATTAATTATTATTAAATAGTGTGTTTCATTTTAAAACCTTTTCAATATTTTAAAACTATTTTCAATAGTGGTAAAGCAGTTAAAAAATTCTAAAAATTCAAGACAGTTCTACAGAAAACACAACTCATATTCATCTGAATGCATATATGTTGATAAAGAAAATAACTTTGAGCCGTATGAATTACACTTCATACTCCACAGCATTTGGACAATACAGTCTACACATTCCATGCCAAAGGTTACGGAAAAAATATCATTTATCTTAATTGTTTTTGCAGAGGGGGGAAAAAAAGCAAGTTGCATAATGAAATAAGTATTTATTTAACTGACGCACAAACTGCAGCGAGTGCTGGACAACAGCATCATCATCATCATCATCATCACGAAGGTCATGCTCAGACTCACAGTGGGATTAATGCAGATGTGTAATCTCAGAGGAATGAACTGACCCTAAGCACCAGCTGTTCTCTTAAATCACACAGACAGCAACAATTCCCTGCGAACTAATACCAACCACTTGTCACCGCTTGTTCACAGTGAAATGGCTCCGATCGAATGGTAAATATTTATCTGGACATGATCACAAAGTCGTCCTTTTGACCTCAATTTTCTCTCGCTGCGTTTATCTGGAAAGATCACAGTGACTCGTGGGCTCTCGGAGACTTATGGGCGCTTCTTGGTTTTGACGAGCCCCTTCTCCACCAGGCAGCGGTAAAACTCCTGGATGTACGTGTACACACACTTCCAGTCGGGCTCCTTCATCCGCACCAAGTCCTCAGCATCCAGCAGGGGAGGGCAGCCTGCCAGCCTCCTGAGGACAGGATGTCAGCACAGATAACTCAGACAATACGCTCCCAGAAGACTACATTTATTCTCGTTTCACTCTGAGAGATGAGAGCTCACTCTGCAGTGCTGAAAGCCAGCTGGAAGTTGTCCCTGGGCTTGTAGGGGTTCAGGGTGGAGTATTCGAACGCGTCGGGGTAGAATCGGTGCACCAAGGCGCAGAAGGCAATGCCGTCTTTCCAACTGGAGGAGAAGTTCTGGATGTCTACCCCCTGTTTTAGCCGCACGCAAGAGAGAGAGCAACCGGTTTTCAAGAGCCCTGGCCAAGTGGGATTCAGGGACAGGACTGTGCACAGTTCATATGGGCAATAAATCAGAGCAAAAGCTTCCTGGATGGAGGTTTACCTCATATGGCTCTGTTTTGGCCCTGCACCAGTCCAGAAGCATTTGTTTGACATTTTTAGCGTTGGGTGGTTCAGCAAAGGAACATTTCTGGGCTGAGACAACAGCAGGGCCGGGCCTGCAGAGGAGAGGAGACAGAAAAACAGCCATTAATTATCTCACTTTCAAAGAAGTGGCAGCAGAAATATGGCATGTCTGCCATAATTGTCAAAATATGGCAGAAATGCCATATTTTGACAATTATGTCGCAAAACTAATTCAATTCCTCGTGTCTCTCACCTGCCTACGGTCTTGCCGATTGGAGTGGAGGACGACGGCTGACCTGCTGACTCTGAAACCACGACAGATTCATTTTCAGCGGCGATGTAAAGCAGAAAGGAGAGACATCAGAGAATCAGACTTACTGTTCACCGACGGCTGCTGGTTCACGACTGCTCTTCCGACGCTGACTGCTCCTCCAGTCGTCCCTCCTTTATTCAAGCCCTGCTGTTTCAGGTCTTGCTGCCTCACCCCGCGCTCCTGCTCCCGTTTTTCTGATCGCAAAAGTTGAACTCAGAAAAGCTTGGTGTGCATACCCCAAAATGAAATCCTAGCTTCAGAGGTGTCCTTTGAAGGCCACAGAGGTTTGTTAGAAAACATTAGATGACAACAGCAACATAATGAGCAAAGCAGACAAGTTAGGGAGAGAAAATAAATCAGAGAAGCAGGTGAAGTCCGTGGTAACTCTAGAGGAGTTGCAAAGATCCTCGGACCTAGTGAGAAATTCGACCAACAGGATAAATATTGATCATTCTTTTCCCAAATAGAAGGGCAACGTTGATAGAAAGTGAAAAGAAATCCCCTTTGAGACTGGGTTGGAGTTGCTTTTTCCAGCTGTACGGTGACTCTTGGCATACAGCCAGACTTCAATGAGATAGTTTAGATAAATGCATGTTTACGTGCTGGAAGGGCCCAGTCAAAGTCCAGACTTAAATTAAGAGGAGAATCTGTGGCAAGACTTGAAACTTGCAACACGAGAAGGAAGGACTGTAAACCAACTTTATTAACAGATCAACTTGTGGCTTTTATCCTTCATCATTCACTGAAGGCCACAAGATGAATAAATCAGGTTTGTAAGTGTTTCAAATGTCACTGAAGTCTCAACAGATCGTCTTCATGCACCAAGCAGGTGAAGCCAGTCAAAAAAATGTACAATGCTGGTAGGGACACTCCAAAAGACCTGCAGCCAAACATGCTTCAAAAAAGTACTGACTCAAGTGACTATGATACAAATGAACAACAAACCTTTTGGTTTTTAATTTGTGCTTGTATGATTTTTACCTCTCTTTTTCTTGAGCAGATCCCTCAGAGCAGCTCGAATCATCCGCCTCTCTTCAAAATCTGCTGCACTGTCCAGCTGCAAGCGGAAAACAGTCGCTAAATAACCGTATATTTTTTTACAGTTTACCCAAAGAAAAATCGAGTGTTGCCGCTAGCTAAAGGATAAAAAGATTGAATGTAATGATAGTCTCCCAATAATGCCAGGAACTTGGAATTTGCATGAATGTAGTGTCATTTTTTTTATGGGCTCACCATTTTGTTGAGAACATCTTCATCCTCAATAGAGGCCAGTTTCTCACTGGTCAACAGCGTTGACCCTTCATTTTTTGACTCCATGTCTTATTAGCGAACCTGGTTAGCTGACATAACAAAGCAAATATGTAAACACATTTCTGAAAGATCTTAGTGACAAGAATGAAAACAAAACAAAGCCGAAGGCGCCTTTCTGTCATATAAAAGAAGAGAAATCCAAAATATCCTAACTTGCTCAAATTCAGATTTTTTTTTTTTTTTGGAAGAAATGTTGTAAACACAGCAGGAAGCCCAGATTCATTTCTAGCTGAAATATGTACAGCAGCTTAAAAATGAGCAGCTGTGTGACAAATTATTAGTCCAACTGAAGCGCCTCTTATTGCAGCAGAGCAACTGCACTAAACAAGAGCCTTCAACATGTACAAATATAGTAGTGCTATGGAAGAAGCTGGTTTCTAAAACAGTCTGATAGCAGAACTAAACAATATGTCGCGAGTCTGACGAAATATTTTAAGCTTGATGTCACAAAATGAGGAGAACAACATGGTAGCATGTAAAAAAAAATTTAATATTTGAATAGGAAAATCATTGTGGTTAGGTGTCTGGTGCAACTCACCTGTTATCAGGATGCAAACCAGCTCCTCTGATGACAGAGTTCTGGATGCAACACTCCCGTCTCGCTTTCTTTCTCCTCTGTTAAACCTTGTGCAGAAGATCACAACTTACATCTCAGCGTTTCATAAAGATGCTTGTTCAGGGGAGAGAGAGTTCAGATTGCTTATGTGAACCTCCCAAAATAGGATAAAGGAGAAGGAGGAGGAAACTCTCTGAATTCATCCATCTTTGTCATCTCCACCACTGAATCTTTGCTCCTCCTGTCACAGGATCCAGGATGATGTGATGCCAAAGATATCAGGAATCTCTTCAGATCACTGTTTTAATGTTTTTGCATGAATCCTTTTTATTGCAATTTACCTTCAGAGTGCAGCAGCGGTATGGGATGTGAAGGGTTAACAGGGACAAAAAGTGAGGAGCACTGCCTTATTCAGGCAAAAGGCTGAACAGGAACTTTGTTTACAGAAGTGGAGGAATCTTTAGGCGGACGGACAGAGCACATATTTGGAATTCAAACACGGACATCTGCCGGGAAACATCGGTAAATTATTAAAACATCAGCAGATTGTTTAGTGGTTTAAAAGTTAAGGGACATTCAGGCATCAAGGTTAGTATCTGAATCAGATAAACTGCGCCATCTAGTGTTGACCTCGTAGAACTGCTAAAGTATTTTCTGTTTTCAGAGAGCCCGACTTTGCTTTCCTGAAAACCTCGGGGGTCGGAAACCATCCCGGTTTCACACAGGGCGAGGCAGTGGCAGAACTTCAGGCTTTAATATCCAAATAACATGTATGAAGATTAGAAAATGACATATTAAAGCAGCTTGCAGCCAATTCATGTCAGAAAATCACAACTCAAATATCTAATTACCTACAACTATCTGATAATGTTCTGGTGTGCCATTATTTAAAGCAATTAACCTTTAACTAACAGTCCCCATACCTGCCTTGACAAATAAACAGAATAAATAAATGAGCTGCATGGGTTTGTTTTTTTCCCCCAGAATTACAAATCTTAAAAGTGTGGTGTGCATTTGCATTTATCTCTACCTGAGTCAGTCCTTAGTAGAAACACCCAATGCTGTATTTATAGTTTCACAACTATGACTACAACCTTCACAAGCTCAGTCAGGAAGCATTTGATCGTTACAGATTCTCAGTTGTATTTACCAGTAGGTAATGACTTTGACTAGGCCACTCTTAAACATGAGTACACAATGATCTAAGCTGTTTTATTGTACCTCTAGCTACGCTTACAGACTTTGTTTAACCTCCAATTCCATGTTTTAATTCTGCAGTGAATTTCAACACAGAAAAATTATTTTGGACATTATTTTCTGCTTTGCGGCATCAATTTCAACTAAATGATAACTCGTTTGCTACATATCCAACTTACCTAACAATTTATGAAGCCATGCAATTAATTTTTTTTTTAAGCCAAAGAGTGAAAATACTCCAGAAAGTTCACCTAAAACAAAGCAGAAGAATTCATTCACACCAAATTAGTGATGAGGGACTTGAGTTCCTTTATTTGTTATTCCAGTCCAAATGATTTGTTTATTTTTCCTCATCTGCAGGATGTCCAAATAAGGCATGAGGCAAAGATGGTTAATTCTTTAAGCAGTCGAGTTTAAACCAGCCATTAAGGGCTACAAAATACATAAATATAATAAAATAATTATTTACATCCAACAAGCTTTGCACTCAAAAACAAATATGTACAAAATGAACCATAGGCTTTAAAAGCAGAAACCCTGCAACCTGTCAGTGCAACACAAGCATCCTCCCACAAACTGTTATCCATTTAACATAATATTAATAAAAACAGATTTTATCCTTGATATGTAAATGTATTAGTTTCTATGCAACATTATATCGAAATTTTTGAATGTTACTGATTGAATATTGAGCTCCAGTGTCTTATTAAACAGCTGAGACAAACAGGGAAACCAATGGAAATGTGTTACATGTACAGAATCATTGCATGTTCTGCATATCTAAAATAAATAAAGACAATTTTTAAACTGAATTAGGGCTATAAAGAAACAGTGGTCCTACATTTTTTTTATATCTTCATTATTCTTGTGATAAATGTATTTGTAAATGGCACCCTGGCAATAAAAATATGTTGTTTTTTTTTCGTAGGCAAAACATAATGAAGTTGTGACGGGATTTATATATATATATATATATATATATATATATATATATATATATAGTGGAGTTACTTCGTAGGATCTCAAACTCTGAACAACAACAGCAACAAGGAGCCACTGACACAGCTTGTAAAACAACATAAAGTAAATATTTGGCATACCAAACATGCTGAATTCAGAGTGGATCGCATGCAGTCTGGATGCTTTCACATAATGGAGAGCTTAGACAGAGACAAATGCTTACTAGTATCAACTGTATGACACTTGAAGAAAGCCTACAGCATTTTCAGCCAATATTCGCCGAGACGCTCATAATAATAATAAAAAAAAAATCTATATTTTCTTTTCAAACTCCCTAAAAGAAAAAAGCATCAGTGAAAAGAATAGAGCTAAAAAGAAACATCATTCTTATTTTTCTTGACCTTTTCCACAGGAGGAAGACGAGCTAAAGTTGAGCGACGTTCCTTAGAGAACTTGTGACACTAATTATCAAAGTACGCTGCGAGGAAGACGACGTGCCGCTCATAATTGGACTAACCCAACAGAGACTTCTCGAGAACACAATGTAGGGCTTTTAGTGGTGAGTGACGGAAAGGTTCATAGAGGAGAACAAAACACACAGCTTCGGCCTCTTAGTGAGTATGTGCTTCAGTGGAAAAGAGGCGACTCATTGCACCGAACGTTTCAGCTCAACAACAACCCGGCTCCTGCTTTACGCAACAACAACAACAAAAAAGCTGCCATAAAACCTCAGCCCCTGTCCAAAATGGAACAAGGCAACAGTACCATCAATATAGCTTCTTAATACAAACTTGAGTTTAATCAGATGCGGGGCAAAAGTGCTTCCAGAGTCTCTGCAAACCTGACCAACCGTCCCCGAGAACACTGATTCCAGCCCTCTGGAGCTGACGATGCTTTTCACAGTGGAGTAGTAGGAGAGACAGAGTCTGTAACCTCAGCGGCACCAAACCGTTCGGTGTGCTCATGCATGCATATAGCTCTATAGGCTAGATGAGGAATTGATTTGAACCTTTTCCATGAAGGGTCATGGTGTTTTTTTTATTTTTGTTTGTTTTTTTTTTCTGTGGAGACTCTAATTCTGTCAAGAACATGAGTGAGTTGGCACAGGGAAGGAAGGAAATGTTCTGCCCCTTGCATGACACAAATTACAGTGTATCCAGTAATTATTTTTCTTCATTTTCTTTATACTTTCAGATCAGTCCATTTTCTCTTTCCCATCCACTATTTGTGGATGATTTGTTTTCTCAAACCCCTCCTGCTTAACCGAATCCCCCCCAGACTCGGATTCAAAATCGGTCCCTTCGGGCTTCGCCTTGCGCGCGTCCATGCAGCTAACGATGAACTCGGAGTTCTGATAGATGAGCATGCCGGACAGCGTCAGCACGGCGCCGGCGCAGCTGAGTGCGGACAGCTCGCTGCCGAACAGCAGCTGGGACAGCAGCAGGTTGCCGACCACGTTCAGGTTGCCCAGGATGTGCAGGGTGACGGCCGAGGTGAGCGTGATGACGCAGCAGCTGGCCAGGTTGTACATGACCGAGCCCAGGCAGCTGAGCAGGATGAAGACCCACAGGTGGCAGTCGTAATGCAGCGGCGACTCCAGCATGGCCCAGTTCTCCAAGGCCAGAGCGGCCACAGCCAGGATGCAGAAGCTGGGAATGGACATCAAGTAGAGCAGGAAGACGGAGTTGATCTTCTCCTCCTGAAGTAAAATGCCTAAAATAAAAAGGAAAGAAATTAAAAACATCTGACCGTCTGACTCTACATATGTGTATATGAGCTTGGGTTACATCCCCTTCTTCATTTAAAGGGTTTTACATGATGTTTGTTCGCCCACCTTTGCAGCTACAAGAGCTTTAACTCTTTTGGGAATGCTTTCAACAAGGTTTTTGAGAGTGTTTGTTGAAGTTTTTGACCATTACTAAAAATGCATTTCTTTGGTCAATAACTTCATTTAGCACACATATGTGTAAAAGCTATTCTTACACTTTTTTCCAGAAGAACAGATTGTTCATAAAAATATGATCAGAACAAATTTTTGCTCATGTCATCAGAAGGCCTACTCTTATGATCCTGCTGTACATAAACTGCACTTAACTCATTGTGTTTAATTACTAAGAGATACTGGAGTTTTTGGTAGAAAACACTCGTTTCTTGTTAAAGATCTTTCAGTGCATGAATAAAGCTTCCTGTGTCAAACTCTATCCAGCATCTCCATGTCCTGACCCAGATATTCTGCAACACATATTATGGGGATGTTTTGGTTTAGGTGACTTTCATAACTGCTTACTGTGTTTTTATAGTCAAATCATGTTGATAGCAAGAATATTGCAGGACATTATGCAAAGCCATGTTTCATATCCCTCTGAGTCATCATGGACAAATGTTCCTATGTATTCCTCTCTTATAGAAACAACAACAAAGGCAACATTTAGGTTTTTGTTGGAAATAGTTTGTTTCTGTTTGTTTGGAGAAAGATTTTTTTTATTTTTTTTGTTTACACATTTTTCTTCCAACTGTACTTTTTTTCTCTCTCTCTCTTTACAGGCAAAATAAAGCTGACGTTGCAGATTTCTGACAAGGTACAACCACAGCAATCTCCCTGAAAGCTTGCCTCCAGCTCACAAGCTGCTGAAGCGCCACCGTAAGTTAATTTGACGTTCAAACAAAAAACTCGACCTGATGTGGGACAGAGAAACAGAATATACCGAGGGGAAAGTGTTGCGGCCGGGCGGAGGACGAAAATAGCTACGTGAAACCTGAGACTACATTGCAGAACATTTGATTTGCTGGACTGTGTTTACATCGTCTAGTCCAGAAACAACAGCAGAACTTAATGTTCCTTCCAGCACACTGACTCAACTCCACTTAATGAAGAAAACGAGAACATTTCCGCAGTCTTGTGCCGTGTGCCACCGAAGCTTTCAGGGGGATAACCCTTTCCGCGCCAGGATCACAATATGAAGAGGGTTCCTGCAGGTTTTAGTAACTTACATTTAAAACTAAAAATGCATTGCCATTACAATTTCATCATGATTTATGTTGACCAGACAAATAAAAAGTGGTTACAGCAGTTCTGTCAGGAGAAATGGGCTAAAAAGTCCTAAAATAAAGTTTATGAATGGATAATAAACATTTGACTTAACTTATAGAGCTTGAAAGACAATTCTACCAAATACATGTAAACTACTGAATCGAGAAGAAAGTAATAATGACGTTATCTTTGTATGTTAGTAAGGGAATTTCACAAATAAAAATACTTTTGCTAATTCCAATTGACCTAAAAACTTGGAAGTTTATTCTGACATGATGTCAAACATTAGATTAGAAACAGTTCTGTCCTTTTATATTTGTGCAGAAACACACTTGTTATAACTTAAACAAGCTTAATCTCACTTTATTAACCTACGACTTGATTTAAAATCCCAAAACAGCCAACAATAAGCCAGCCACAGGAGCCTGGCTTATTGCCTCCTGTTTACAAGCCGAGAAGGTGGCTTGTACTTTTTTAGAAACGGATATCTGAATTATGACACACACACACACACACAGAGCAGCCTCAGATGCCATCAACACACTTAAAACAAGCAGAAAAATGTAATGTATAAAGTACATTTGATGGATACATTTAAGACTTTTTATAGCTGAAAATTAGATAATCCATTGTAAGATTTTGAAGCCCTGCAAAACTCTGATTTAGCCGTTCAACCAACCAAGAAACCTGAAGATCCGACTGTGTTTATAGCAAAACATTGAGCCTCCACGCATGTTTTTAAACTCGTGTCATCTCAGACGAAGTTCATGTTGCCGAGCGTAATGACATTACAGCCCATTAATCTACTGCAAACAAACACTCATCTGTGGTGCAATACAAAACAGGAAGCCAGCAGCTTTAAATTAGCCGGAGCAACAAATGATTCAGTAAGAGTTCAAAACATTAGATAATTATCAGAACAAGAGTTAGTCCTCATGACATCACTGAGCTTTTCAAACAAAAAGTTCAGTTTGTTGTCACAATGTTTTTACCCACTTGATCAAATCTGGCAAACACAGCACTTTTGTTCAAAAGAATTTCTTGAACAAAGTTCATCGAACCCAATCAGAAAAACAAACAATCTAGACTGTCACATTATACAAGACGTTGACCATTTTTGGATCATCAAACATTAGAAACATGAGATTAGGCTGTCAGCAGACTCTACTCACTCACAGACATGCAGTAATGTTTATATTATGTTCCCTAGGCAACCAGAAAGCCCGCAGTACCATTCCACCTTAATGTGAGGGTGTGTCTAGACTGTGGAGTGAGTCATCAACTTGTTCCACAACCACAAACTGATGTGGCGTCCAGAGGAAAAACGTTCCCTGAAGTGACTGGCATGTGCAAAAAGTACAGAAAGCATCTCGCTTGGGTCACTTATTTAACAAAATAAGTACTTTTAACCGTTTTATGGGGTAATAAAAACTGTACTCACTCTGCTGAATGGACTTGACACCCCTCAACATGGTCGCTGCAAACACAAAGAAGCATCCGGTCTGATCGAACTGGACTTCTCCCATGATGCTGAAGGACGCTCCGAGGCAGATGGGCATCATGGCCGTGTATTTGATGATATGGTGCTGCTTACCCAGGATCAGAGAGGAGATGGCCAGAGTGAAGAGCGGCGTCGTAGTGTAGATCATTTGTGCAAACGACAGCTGTACATAGTTTAGACCGATGTTTCCGAAGGCGATGCTGGCACAGAAAGTCAGACTCAACAGGAACACTTTACACTTAGCGTTCGGAGTCAGGTCCTGCTCGGCGGCCCCTCTATGTCGGATCACCCGCAGCTTGATCAGCCCGTAGTCCACCACGATGGCCGTCAGCATGTGCAGCGCCGACAGCAGCAGAGGGTACCTGAAGTTGTAAACCGCGAAAATCCATTTGTTGAGGCTGGAGATGGTGGTGCCGGTCACCAGCCAAACGATGACGGCTGAGAGCAGATGGAGCATCTCTGCAAGCGGCCTCCTCCGGCTCCTGGCTCGCAGAGTCGCCTCGCATTTTGAGAAGCCATTGGGGTTGATCATATTCGTAGCATGGTCCTCTCTGTAAGGCAAGCACATGTTGAGTTTGTTCTTCTAATCTCAAAAAAAAAATAAAAAATAAAACAAAATTAAGCTGTCAAACTGGAGATTCTAAAAATAAAAAAAATATATATACATTTCCTCTAAGACGCAGCTTTTTCCCCAACAGCGGGTAACCAGTCTGTGTTGACTGTGAGAGAAGTGTTTTCAAGCAACGCCTAAAAACACGTGTTCCTGTTTTGCATGACAGCCGGGTTGTGTAACTCACCCTGAGTTTGTAAGATGACATATTCTTCAGAGGGAAAACAGAGAAGGGAAAGGAGGAGGAGTCTGAACTGTTCAGGGAGGGCTGGAAAACAGTATGGACTGTGGCAAGTAGATTTGTCATATAGTGAGTCAGTCAAGAGCTTCACAGTAGATATTCTAAATTCAATTCTCCAAATTTAAAATGAAACTTTCAGAAAATAAAAAAGTGTGTTTTATTTATTTATTTGCCTTTAAGAACTATTTTTTTTGCCCATTCTTCGTTGCAGAACTGATCTAATTATGGCCTTTTGAGCATGAATTGTTGCTCATAATTACTAAAAGTTAAATAAGAGATTGTTTTAGTGCTTTCTTTTTCATCTGAAACGCACTAAAAGTGGTCCACCTTAGAAACTACGATACAAAGTATCTTCAAACAAAACCAAAATCAAATTAAGGTTTCACAAATCACAAACTTGGGCTTACCTGGAGGTTTGGACAATGTAAGTGTCGCAGTTTTTGAACTTGAGCGGATTAAAGACTATAGCTATTGACAAATTAAGTGGAATTGCCATTTTGCCATTTCCCAAATCGGGAGCTAACTTCAGCTTGATTATATGTGACATTGGCCTGCCACAGTTCTACCGTCTCCAGAAGGGAGACTCGGCGGACCGGTTATTGTCTCGTCATGCCGTTTAGAAGCCACAGGCACGAACAGAGCATGATACACTAAAGATAGTAGTGCTGTAAACAATTTACAGAACTGTTCTGAAAATCGCGACTTTGCTTATAACCATAAGCTTGAAAATAGAGAGGAGTTATATTTTTAGCTGCCCATTGCCTTTAAAAGGCAACTCACCTCTGTGTCTGGTTCTGTTTCCCTCAGCCAGATGATGTACAGGAGCTCGCTTGTTACTCCTGTCAGTGCAGCTAAAGTTATGCGTTCATTCACGCCTCTATGCGGCGACGGTTTCCAGTCTCAACCGTTGCAGTAAAATGTCCGACGTGGTCATAAATCAACAAAACAGTGATGCTAACATGCTAGTTCACGGAATTGAGCAGCATTATGTAACTTGACAGGTACAAACGTTTTGCGCCAATGTTAAGCTAGTAACCTACCCCTGTGTTAGCTAACAGCAGGTTGGTCGCTTCAAAACATTTAGCCGTTTCTCCTGCTTCACTTCCCGCGATGTTAGCGCCCACTGGTCTCGCGTGAATATAAAAGCATTTTATCAACACATTTTATCACAATAGTCTGTGCTTTTTACCTTGTTCCTGGAGCACCGTCAGCATCTCCAAAGCTCCGCCAGTCGGAAACAGCACTATCAGCCAACTGCCAGCAGGGGGACACAAGTTCAACTTCTCTGGACCGTTTAAAGGGGAATGCCACTTTTTAAAAAATGATGTAAAGCGCTGGAAACTCAAAATAGTATGAACAGATACTGTGCCCAGAAGTGAGTATGTTGTACTCCAGCAAGAGCAGTCCTACTTCAACATATTTTTACTCAAATTAAAGAGGAAAGTATCCAAGAAATTACTCAAGTAAAAAAAGTATTTTGGTAAAAGGGTACTAGAGTGCCGAGTTACTAATCAGCATGTCTTATTTGATATTTAAAACATGTCACCAAACAGACAAAAAACAAAGTTATCTGCAAATTCTGGTATATTAAAGTGTAAATTGAGGAAAAAAGGACACAAAAACACAAATTCAGGCAGAAGAAACATTTCAAAATTAAATATTTTCAATACTTGTAAAACCAATACTTACAGTAGTGCATTTGTCAGAACATGGTAAAATTATTCCAGTGACAATAGTGTACTGTACTCAGCAGATAGAAAACAGAACCGAAAAGCTTACGTACAAAAAGTTTTACTTGACTGTCTTAATTTGTCTCATATGTTTGGTTAAAACATGTTTGTATTTTTTAGAAATTTTACTCAAGAGCAGCAATATTTAATATTACTCAAATAAAAGTAAAAAGTACATTGCAGTAAAACTACTCCTAAAAGTATATCTTTTCCAAGAAGTTACTCAGGTGAATATAACCAGTTACTTGCATGCCTCTGATCAAACCATAAATTCACATAAGTTATGTGTAATAAATTGTAATGACACAGCAGATTATTAAGACTGTCTGTACATTTACTCATTCTTTGTATAATACGAATCTTGCCTGCATTGTATGCTGGAAAAGAGCTCCACATACCCATGTTCCCACCTCCATCTTCACTGATGGTATGGAGTTCTGGGGTTGCTATGCAGTGCATTTTAATTTTCAAGCAATGTGTTTTAAGACACCCAAATAGTTTGATTTCAGTCTCTGGACCAGGCTATATTCTAGTATTTACACACTTTTCTTCAGCAGTGGAGTCTTATGTGGTGAGCATAAGCATCATGCCAGTGAATTATTTATCTCTTTCTATGAAACAGTTTTTTTCACTTCCTGTCTGACATCTTGCAGGAATCACCCAATACCGGCCAGTTTGTGATGTAATGGACCCAGGACTGCTCACTGGAACCATCAGTCACATCTCCTGAGAATTTCCTGTTAATAGCACCTGTAGAAATATAGCTACTTAGAAAATTAAAGCAACACATCCTGCATCAATTTCCCCTGCAGCATATTATATAGTGTAAAGGAAAGGGATTTAACTATGTCAGTATTACAGGCGAAGATAAATATACAATGCCTGTAAAAGAAATAAAAGTAACATTAAATTATATACAAAACAGTGCATCACTATAAGCCGTCTCAACATACAGGTCATAATTTAAAATGCTTAAAATGACAAATTACACATAAATACTTTAATAACATTACTCTTAAAATGATGCTTTTCTTAACTGTTAAATAAAACAAGCATTTGTCAGTTTTTTATAGTATTTTTATTTGATTTGGAAAATTGAAACTTTGAGGTAATTGGGCACAAAAGGTGAATTTACATCATGTTTCATTGGCAATCCACAAACACTTAGCAAGGTTAGAAGGCTGCTCACTAGAACAAAAGTGCATTTGCACTCTGAAACCATGCATAGCTACTGTGTGTGCTGCGAAGAAAACCTCTGGATTCTGCACAGTATTACAGCAGATCAAGAAGACCTTGTGCTTTATTTGAACAGGATTTCATACATGATTTAGAATAATATGACATACAGCATCTAAATCTCTTACATTCATAATTCAGTCTCTGCAACATCTCATTAGCTGTATTTGGTTTCGACTAGTCAAAACCAGGAGATGGAGTGTTTAAGCATGGATATTCAAGCATTGCCAAACATTTTACAGTGATTTAGCTGATGAGCTTCTACTTCTACAGTGTTGTTACCAATTACTGGCAAAAACTAACCAGACTGCTATATATGTGAACCATGCCCTATTATTGTACACAGTAAGGTATAAATACACAGAAGTATTAGATATGGAGGGTATTTATTATGGATGTCCATGTGCCTATTAGCAACTAATCCACCACTCATCTAATGGAAATCTATACTAATTTGACATAGTAGTGCTTTTTTGTACTTAAGTAGCTGTTCATATTGCATTATTGCTGACATTTAGCATTTTAATAAAGCAACAACAAAAAAATCATTTACATATTCACATATGATATACATATCCGTCATGAATATCTAGATTTCTTAAACTTTGTTTAGGGAAAATATTTAACATTAATATTCTAAACTGAACTTTGTTACCCAAAACAATCACCTGAATGCATTCTGTATAAGTCTGCACATAATAAACATCTGTATAAAACTTTTTTCTGTTTCTAGGTCAGACTTACTATAGATGAGTCTTTTGTTACATGCTCTAATTAAGGCTAGAATTATCATTAAGCACCAATATATATTCTCATTATGTGCGAACCTGAAGGATGAACTGATTTCTGCATCAGAGAAACTCCTAAAATTGAGTCTTCACATATTTTCAGGTATGTACTTTAGAGTTGTCCAAGTATTTATGTGGTTTAAATGTTTTAGATTCCATTAAAAGGAAACTGAGGATTTTTCCTCATGGCTCTGAAACCATTTCTCAACTAAAGAGTTTTTTCTGACCTTGTTGACTAGACGCAGGAAATAAAATCATCTTGCTTCCAATAGTTGCTTGCTTTTAAGGAGTTTATGTTCCAGCCTGAGAACTAAGAAAAGTTTCCACAGAAATTCATTGTTCATGCATCCAATTTTCGTTTTATTTACTGTTGATTAAGGGGGAAAAAAATACAAAACATAAGGCATAAGGTCCACATAGTCACAGCTGCATTTAAACCACAACACAGATTCCAGCATCCAAATATTAGGAATAAAAATGCTAGATTTTAGTAAACATTTAATCTTCTTAATCTTGAATAGACATTCTGCCCATAAATTGTCAAAATTTGGGTTAAGCCCATCTCAATTGACAGTGTCGGATGCAAAAATGTAAACATTTGACCTAAACAGAAGGGACCAATTTATATTCCTCTAAAGACCAAATGAGACAGAGGTAAAAGAAGGTTCAACATTATCATCATATTTTTCACCTAATATTAGAATTTGTGGTAGACAGGAAGCAGAATGTGAGTGCTGTGGAAAAAAGTATTTACCCTAAAATCTAGAAGGCTCTCAAATCAGTCGAGATTCCCAGTTTCCAGTTCCAATTTCTGACACAATTGTAATTTAACTATGATTTACAAGTAATACGGTAATCATTTATCAATTTAATAAATCAGGCCAGGTTTAGAATTTGATAGAAAAAAAAAAAGGAACTAATGAAAAAAATCTAATTATTCTTGTCAATAACCTAATCTAAAGAAGTGACCTCTCAAACAACCTACTGGTGAAAAATCACACATCTCTATCAGTTTTGCCAAACGTGATTTAGACTAGTCTATGAATTATTGCATTTGTTCCCACATAAAGATGTTGCAAGCTTGATGGGATGGGATTTGTTAAAAGGTGCTCAGTATCTGTCCTACGGCGCAAACACTGTTGGGAACAGTGGCTCTTCACATCCTGATTAATCAGATCGGATTATTCCACTAGTTTCATCTGAGATGATGTGCTTTATTAAAAAACATTCCAGCAGACTTTAATGTTTCTTTAAAGTGCTTTCATGTTCAATTTGCCTATCAACTAAACCCCTTACAGAGTGTTTGGTTCACAAAAGCAGTCTACCTCGACAAAACAACTCATTTATAGATCATATAGGCTAAAAAAAATAATCATGGATTATGAATTGAGCTGTTCTCCCTCATCATTAAGTTTAATAGGGCAGTTTCATCTAGAAAGTTAAGCCATCTGTGCTTTTAAGGGCTTTAAACGCTTGTAACTTTTTTTCTGCTTGAGTTGTGTGACGTTATTAAGCTTAATCTGTGATGGTGGTATGAATCACCTGAGCTCTCAGGAAATGGTTGGAATATTTTCATAAATTGTGTATTTTGTTTTAAAAAAAAATAAAAGAAAATGGTACTTTGTAGAAGATAATATGTAGACAGATGACAAAAAAATGCAAGCTTTTGCTGTGAAATTGTAGATTTGTACAAATTAGGGACATTTCTGAAACACTTGTACAGTTTAGCCTTTTACTGGAATGACTAATGCTTTGGAAATTGCTCAAATTAGATTAGACACCCAAATGGGTCAAAAATCAAAGTCGTCTTCTCTTATACTCTGTTAGATGTACAAAAATCTTCACTTTGCCGTTTCCGACATCCAAGATTAGCACTAATTTACACTAATACTGCAGCTTTCATTTCGTCATGACTCAATAAAACTCCTTTAGTTCAGTCATACATGATCTCTGGGGTTTTGCATTGATCTGTTTTTGAAGGGAACTAGCTTAGAAGTGTTAAACTGACAGTTTCTCTCACTCATCTCAACGAAACGAGGTCCTTGTTTTTAGAGGCCACTCTGGGTTCAGCTTGTGCTGCAGGATACTGTTGTGCAATTTTAAAAAAAACACTAGCACAAAACAACAAAGAATGTGAAGGATCAGTAAATCATGCTCTGCTGAGACAACTTCACAGCACAGAAGAAGGCTTTTGTCCCACTCTTTCAAAGACTGATATCCTCCATCTCTGATTAGAGCAGGACATTTGGTGCTTGTACACCCAGGCAGCTCCACGCCACTGGGATCGTCTATGTACACTCAGTTAGGTGTGTTTTGTGCTGAAGTTGGTTCTGTGTAAACTAAAGTCCACTCACACTCGCAGACAGGCACACAGAACTTGAACTGCTCACATAAAAAGTTCTGCAGAGCATGGAAGCGTATATCAACCGAAGCCATGCATCCTGGTAGAACAGCTGTAACAGGGAGGGAACACATATACACAGGAAGTAGAAGCTGGAGGTTTTGTGCTTTAGAAGCTGAGAGGAGTTAGCTATCTCACCCACTGCCACCTGCTCATCTAAGCCCACCTAACCCCTCCACCAAAAAAAAAAAAAAACTACCAGACTCCTAGAAGATCTCAGGACAGTGACTCCAGTCTTGTCTCTCTTTAGCTTCCCAGTAGCCGCCTCTGTACATGCACATTGCTTCTCCTGTGTTTTCGTCTGTTCTCATCTCAAACCACACTGGCTGGTAACTTTCCACCTCTTGCCCTGAAAGCAAAGGTAAACAACTGTGAGAAAGAGAAAGCTTGATATTGCTGTTTCCTCCAAAATATAAATATTGTGAACACAAAGTCAATGTGAAGTTCATGATTTTTAAAGCCCTTAGCCCTATTTTATCACTAGAAATCTGCAATAAAAGTCCATAATTTGTAATAAGTAAGAAGCTAGAGTCTCAATTTTATTTACATCTGAACTTTGACTGGGCCATTCCAACGCATGTATATACACCTCAATCTAAACTTCCGCTGTATCTCTGACAGCATGTTTAAAACTACGGTTCCTCCTGCAGTCTCAAATCCTTTATTTATTTATCCATCTACCCCTCATCACCAACTTCTCTTTCCCTACTCCAGAAAAGCCTCCCCACAGCATAATGCTGCCACCACCATGACTCACTGTGGAGAGAAACGTAGAGAGATTGTCTTTCTATTAAAGGAGTGAACTGTGCTACGGGAGATGCTGAAAGATTTTAAATATTGTTTTATAACCTAACTGTGGTAATACTCTGCTTTACTGAGGTCAAGTTCCCAAAAGGTAGACTTTGTTTGCTAATCAGGTGACTTCTGCAGTTGCACTGGGGTATCAGAGTAAAAGGAACCAAACACAAATGTTATGGTTTCTAGGGTCCAAGTACTCACCTTCCTCCAGGGCCTGATTAGCTTGCGCCTCCCTTCTTTTCCTCTCCATCCTCTGGTGGTCCTCAAGCCGCTGCTTCTCGATGTTCGCCTCGTCCCACAAGCCCGCCTCCATCAGCCGCTGGTCCGGTCGCAGACGGCTGTCGGTTGGGGCAACGCCGTCCTCCGGCTCGTTCAAGGTCAGTGCCAGGGCGGAGAAATAGTGCATGTTCTCTGCATTGTCTCTGAGAAGAGATGCAGAAAAGAAGAGTCTTCAAATGTGTGCTCAAACAGTCATGTAGATTAGGGAGCAAAGTTTTAGATTTCAGAAACCCACGGAAGAGGGTATTTTTTCCACAGGAGTTTGGGCTGAAGAGTCTGATACACAGTTTTTTGTTTGCCTTCAGAGCCTCCACATCCCCGGCTGCTTTCCACTATTTTTGCGCTTTCCATTTTGTCATCCCAGGTCCCTGACAGGATGTAATGGGCTGTTCCCTCTCCGTCCTCCACCACGCCGGTCACCTGGAGAACGAGAAGAAAGAAGCATGAACAAGATCTGGCTACACTGGACTGCTTAAAAGTCTGGAAAAGTACATTTATGTTTATTTTTTGGCTGGGAAAAAAATAAATATGCATCTCATTGTGATAAATATCAAGTGTACCATCAATCAAATCTTGTCTTTTATTCCTTCCTTCTTTGACTTTTTCTTTATCCCTCGTCTTTCCTCCCTCTCTCTCTTTAGTTAAATGCAGAAATCATTTTGTAGCAAGTCATTATTCAAAGTTCTTCAAATAGTTGTAGATGCTGATGGCTTTAGGCAGGATAGATTTTCTGTACCTGTCTTTGTTTCAGCAGCTCTGAAAAGGCCTCTGACAGTTTTTTTAAAGAGGATTCTTGTTAATATGAGGAAGGTCTGTAACATTCCTCATATAAAGAACCCTTTATCAATCACAAAAATCCTTTCTTTGCTGTTCTTTCCTTCATTTGTGGTCTTTCAATCTTTCCTGGTCCTTACTTCTTTCCTTATGCCTGGAACTCAAAACCTGATGCAGAGTGTAGAAAATTGTTTTATATTGACTTGGAAAATATGCAGGAACCACATTTAGATGCATTTTCTGCTTTGTATCAAAACTGCTGGCTACTTCATGTTTAGTGACTCCTTGTCTGTAGCTGAAACGTACTTTTCGTGGAACTTCCCTGGAGAAGTAGCTGTATGGAGAGAATTTGAGACGGCAGGTGTCCTTCGTGGTGGTGTTCATAATGTCAATTTCTCCAGACTGACATGTGGACAGGAAGAGGAAGAGATGCATCAGATATAATATGGAAGAGCTTCCGCTTTACTTCTTCAGTTGTGATTTCTCTCATAAGCCGAAACCCACCTGATCGATCCACAGTTTCCCTACAATGATGTTGTGCACCGTGGAAGTCACTTTGCTCCACACATAATGGTTTCCACTTGAGTGGAACTGCAGGTGAATGTTACCTGTGGTGAACACCAAACCACCATCAGTCTGGATTCTTTTGTAGAATAAATGTGGCTAATGTTTAACACAGCATCTTATTGCCACCTTTGGAAAACTTTATAAAAATACATCTATAACATGAACATTAACTTTAAGCCAAATCAATGAAAAACAGTTTGTTAAAGAAATCTGTGACAGATTCCATCTCTTAATATTTTTGCCAAGAGGAACACAGCGCATCTTCTATAACATTTTATAAGATTGGGGTAAATAGAAGGTGCTGCTTTATTTGCTGCTAACTGCTGCTTACCTAACGGCACGACAGAAATATATTTCCCACGAAACTTGCTATCAATAGTTATGTACTGCCACAAAGTCCATCCTCGCTCTGACACCACATGGTGGGCCGCAGCTGGTGGATGATGGCTGACCTGAGATTGAACGGTATCAGTGAAACTCATTAACTGTCAAGCTATCGCATCATTTGAATACTCAGATGGATAAACTAAATGTGCGGTGACAGAAAGTCACAATGGATGGCTGTGTTTATGTCTTGCCTGCTCAGAGATGGAGCGATAGCCGTACTCCTCCCATCGGTCCAGCTCGTAAGTCTCCCCCAGCAGAGGGTTGAAGGGCTTGGCGGTTCGATGGACTGTGGTTGAGTAGGAAGAGACGGAAAAGGCGGCCACGAGGCACATCTGCTCCAGGGACGAGTCGCAGCGAGCCGCCCGGTCCAGCAGCTCGCTGTACTCCAAATCCTCCGTCAGGCGCTGCAGCATCGACAGCGGCTCGTTGAAGTTTACCTGCAAGAAGGCATGCCATTTGAAGAAAGTCACCTCTAGAGTATCAAAAGAAGAGCCTGCTTCCTAATTCTAAAATGTGCAAAATAGTGTTTTGATTTACAGGCATGGGAATCTTGGATAGGTCCTTTCCGATACAGTTTTTCATGATGCTCCACAAGTTGAGGGAGTAGTTTGGTTTGTCGGGGATACGATTGCGTCTTGTTCTTCGTAGCTGCATCTGGTTTGTGCCTGATGTGTCCTTTAAATAACAAAAAAAATATACATATTTTACATAAGAACTCCCTCTTGAATTTTTTTCACAACCTTGTCAACATCAATATATTTATTTGGATTTTATGGGACAAAACTGACATGAAGTAGTTAATAATAGTGAAGGGACAGGCTAACTATAGCTAGTAAAAGTCTAAAAAACTTTGGTTTAAATTTGTATTCAGCCTCTTTTACTGCGATACTCAAAAGTAAAATTAAGTAACAGAATGTATCAGAATCTGTTGAGAGGAAATTTATTAGTTGTGCACTCTTGACCACTGTTAACGTAAAGCTATAAGAGCTCTTGTTTACAGAGTACAATAAACCATGTAGTATACATATTAAACATGCTTAAGAAGGTGCTCATCAATATTTATCTTTTTGGACTGAATACAAAAGGCTACGAGTAGGTGTTAAACATGGTGGTGGCAGCATCAAGCTGTGGAAACGGTTTTCTTCAGCAAAAACAAGAAAGCTAGTCAGAGTTGATGGGAAGGCGGATATTTGCATTCATAACATGACAAAATGTGAACTAGTTAAAAAGGTAAAAATACTTTTACACATTAAAATAAAGAGACACGTTTGACATTCAGTGTTACTATAGTTTGGACTTACACTTTCATTGAGAGTCCAGTCATTGGGCATTCCTCCACTCATCATACTCTGGTTACTGCCTGAGCGCCTAAAATAAGGCAGTGGGACAGAAAGGTAATACTAGTTACCAGAGACATGCAGTGAGAATAAAACTCAAAATAGAATATTATATTTCATAATTGGAACATTTAGTTTTAGCAGCTTTTAAATATGTTCCAATCAACTGCATGCCGTTCAACAATATATTAGCAAAAACAAAAAATTTAATATTTAACATTCTGTCAAAAAAAATTTTTTCTTGTTTTGGGCCGATTTTTTTTTTTATATATAAAATGAAATTTATGATTTTACTTATATTTGTATACAAAGTCCATGCGTCTTTCCTCTGTTGTAAAAATATTCTTTGCCTTCATTTTTAAAAACTTGGCTGCTTTAATGGAGATAATCACCAATGACTACAGTCATCCTGGACTAGTTCAATTCTAAATGTATTTTTTGTATTTTTCCTGATCATTTTCAGTATTCTCAGTTCATAGAAGAGGAGCTCAGCACTGCCCTCTACCAGTGCAGCATGATACTTCCTGCCTCACCCTGCACATTTCACTGTGCATTTATAGTTTATCAGAAAGACTAAATATGTCACATATTCATTAAATATGTTAGACAGACATCAGCATGTGTAGCATATGTGTAGATGACAGGTGAGGCACTGCCTCACCTACATCACCTGACTGCATGTCAAGGTCTGTTACTGTAGCTAAAGCACAGCTCTAGCTGAAGTCATTGCCGAACTGCTGAACGTGATGCTCCCTACTTGTGTTGGATATTTCCAGTGGTAGTCACAGTTATGAATGAAGGGGCATCCTCCATGGCATCAAAGAACTCCGCTTCTTCATTTTCATCACTCGCATCCCCCTCTTGAGACCGCTCCACACCTGCAGGAGCAAACGTGGGACAGGTTAGCATAAAAGGCTTCAATGTCCAAGGATTGTCAGTTTGTATTTTGCAAAAATTGTTTATAATAGAGACTGCTGGTACATTTTGCTGTCAAAGCATGAGCTCTAAATTGTTTTGGGTTAATATTGCGATTAAAATGTTGAATCATGAGAAATGTCAGAAGATAATTACTGAGAGAGTTCTCTTTAGTGTTTATTGTAAACAATTTGAAGCTAGCAGGACTGTGGATGTGGAACATTTAAAATAGAAGGTAATAGTGGCTTTATTTAATCAAACAACTGTGTGTAGCTTGGTAAGGGTCAGTGTCAGGGTACTGCAGAAAAACAAAAAAAAAAAAATAACTAAGTTTGGTTTACCTGTAAATGTAACTTATCAGAATTATCTGTACTTTATCATAATTAAATTGTATAGACAGGGAAGTCAACCAAAAGTAATATAGTTTTAAGTGCAGCTTTTTTGTACAGTTTTAAACAAGTTTTTTACCTGAAATGCTTGAAAAAAGAATTTATGCATATTGACAATCACTGGACCAAAACAGATTTCAGTCAATTTAAATTAGGCCACAGTTAAAGTCTCAGCTTGCTGGAAATAATTGAAATATACTCTAAAGAAAGTTATGAAAACAACACCTTTTAACTATAATAAAGCATCCCTGTTTTCACCACATGATTCCATGTGATATTGTTGATGCAATAAGAAAATAATTCAATTTATGTAAGAAACTTTAGTAAGACTCTGCATGTTTAGTTGGAACTTATAATGATGGTCGATATGTTGATTATTTACTCAGAACATATAAAGGCATTCACTTTGTTCTGATTGGGAACAGAACAAAAGTAATGATGAAATAATATAATCAAATCAGAGAGTTGTAATTTGTAGATTTTAACATATAGGAGTCGAAGCTTTATCAAACGTGTCTCATTCAATAACATAAAACCAAGTATTGCAGTTACTTGGTTAAGTTATACAAGATAGTTTTTACATCAACATAGTATCCCATCAGCTTCAACATAAAGCATGTTAAAATTAACATCTAAAAACTTTTCAATACTTTAAACCACCAAGTAAAACAAAAGTGTGACCAGTGAAAGAGGAAAAACATTTAAATGAGACTTTGGTTTTGTTTTTGTTCCTGAAAATGAGTTGAAAGTAATTATGTAAATGCATTTTTAACAAATTAATTGAACTAACACCTATAATAGACTAGAGATAATACACTAGAGATTGTTATTTAAGGGGTGGCAATATGTAAAATCAAGTTCTTTAAGTGTGGAATAAAGATTATTCATGTTTCAGGTAGATTTTTAAGGATTTATTAAAATTAGATGACTTGAATGTAATTCAACTCTTCTTCAACAATCTGTTCTTTGTCAAACCAAACCAGCAGCTATAAGTAGCAGTATTCTTACACACACTTTGCACATCGTAGGTACTAGATGTTCATCTATGTGGCGATGGCAGCGATGTCTCACCTGTATATGAGGTGGGATTCTCCCTCCACGCTCTCTCCAGGCTGTTGTGCTGTTTGGCTAACTGTTCAATGGTCTCCTCCAGATGGTGGCGCTGTTCTCTCTCATAGTGCAGAGCCTTCTGCCACCGCCGGCTGTGAGATTCCGCCACATCCAAAAAGTCCCGACAAGCCTGAGGTGTGAACACAACAAACCTCAAAGCACATGGCGAACTCTGAGGCCTCGCTACAGTCTCCCTCACTAAGACATCGGCAGCTAATCAGTTTTAGTCTTTGCACCAGCAGAGGTATGAGCTGTGTGAACTCACATTGATCATAGCATTAGAGGTGATGCGGAAGAGGGTGGCTCGCTCATTAACGGCTTTCACTTTGTCCGTGCCTTCGGTGGGCCCACGCAGGTCTTCAAGTTCGCTGAGGGAGCGCTGGAGAGCGGCGCCGTGCTTTCCGATCAGCTCATTACAGGTGCTCAGATCCTCCAACTTGGTGGCCAGGGACTGCAGCGCTCCTTGGGTGAGGGCACGGTCCTCCTGAGGCACAGGGGTTTCATCTCCTGAGTCATCTTCACACAGAGACACCAGTGTAGCAGTTTAAAAACTGACCGATTCAAAATATGTCTGAACAATCTGTGTGTTGATGATGAGATTCCAGATTGGAGCAGACAGCACAGTCGTCTGTCATGAGACAGACTAACAAAAGATGCTTTAAATGCTCTAAACACAGAATGAGACGAGTTAATGGGAAACGGATGGGAAAGGATAATAGCACTTCACACCCTGATCTCTAAACAACCCATCTTCCAAAATATCGGAAAGCTGTGAATGAACACTGTTGCCTTGGAAACGTGGGCATATGCAATCAGGAGGCAAGGCTATTTTTAGATGGAGAGAGAAAAAAGGATGACGCATTACCCCTTTTCCTCCTCTCTTCTCTCTCTCTCTTCCTTTGGCTGGCATGAGCCGAGCTGCGAGTCTTTAGTCCTTTCAGAGCGTTTCAAGGAGACTGGATTGATTACTAAGCATTACAAGGCATATTTACAATATAGTGTTTCATTCTCCTTGAACTTTTGAACATTTTGTCACATTACAACCACAAACTTCAAAATGTTTCATCTGGATTTTATCTGATAGAGCCATACAAAGTGGCGTATCATTTTCAAGTGGAAGGACAATAGTGGTTTTTGTGATTATTTACTCAAAAAAAAATAATTACATTACAGTCTCTTGGATACCCCTAACTAGTAACCAGACTCCACTTTTCTGTAATTTGATCTCAGTTCAACTCTTTCATGAAAGCCAAAAATTTTTATAGGAAAAAATGAGTAAACAAGCAGCATAGTGACCTCAACGTCTGGAGGAAAAGGAACACATCACACTGACAATCCTGGTAGAAAGCCTGTTGGAGGCTGCAGAGGACAGGGGTGGAAGTTTGCCAATAGGATCAGACAAAATCCAAACAAGAATCTATTACAAGACTGGGACATTGGTGTTTACTGAGCCTCTTGGTCTATTTCGCATTTAATATAAATGAACGCTTCAGTTTTTAGATATTTTATCCATAAAAAAATGAAAAGCTTCTGTTTTCAGTGTCTATTCCACTGCCAAATTATAATAATTTGAGTTAGTTTGTCACATAAAATCTCACCAAAATACACTAGTTTATGGTAGTTACGCAACACAATGCAGAGAAGTGCAAGAGGGGCACATACTTCTGAATGAAAACAGCTTTTAATTTAGTTTAACGCCTTAAAAATTGATATCTGCTATAATCTAATGTAGTGCTGTTCCCGTTACTTAAAATATAGAAATTTGAGATTACCACTGATTAGGTTACTTTAAAAATATGTTGTTTTTTTTTTTGCCTTGGATTATTAAAAAAAAAATAAAAAAATAAAAGAGAGCAAAAGTATGAAAAGTCCTATCATTGAAATAATGCATCTTATAAACATACACAATGTAATAAAATTATCTAGGTCAAAACTTTCTCTGCTAAACAAAACACTGCATGATAAATCCCAGGAAACGTAAGTGCATAGTTTGATTCTAGGCCATTGTAGTTCGGTGTACGAGTTCAAAAGCATGGAGACAAACTACCAAACCCTATTAAAGGGGGAAGAAAAAAACACACACACACACGCACATAATCAGGGCAAACTGGATTAGTGAAGTCCCTGGAGAAAAATGATTAAAAATAAGAGTGAAAAATATTTCAAGCTGTAATGGTTCCATGACCCACATCTAGCAGATTTCTGCTGCTCAAGGTGGTAAGAAATCGAGTTCTCTGAGGCCATCTGCCATCCAACATGTTCATGTGGAGATGCAAAGCCATTAAGCTCATCCTGGAACTGTGATGGATGTGTAGGGGAATGACACACAGGGCTGGTGAGTGCAGCAATGGGTTGTTTTTTCCACGAGAGTCACAGGAGAGCCTGAGAGCAAACGGTGACTCATAGTTAAATCACAAGAAGACACCCACAGGTGATAAAGGGAGCGTCATAACGGACATGGAGTGGGAGGAGAATCAATCTGTGCGTTTGCACGCCTATTTTTACAGACTCACAAATGCAAAGCATGTGACGGATATCACACAATAAGTGCCTCACTTCTTCTGCGAGCTCCACTTAATTACTGCTGTTCTGATCCTTCCAGCCAATTAATCTGCTCTGGGACTGAGCCCTGCAGCTGCTTATGGAAGGGTAATCTGTAATCACCTCACCAAAACGCACCAGGATTTGCACCCCTGCTTACCGTAGAGCCAGATAAAATGAGCATCCACTAAGCCGTTCAAAATTGAAAACAGAAAACAAAGCATATTGTGATTTCTGAACTGTCTGTGACCTCAGATGGGATCCAGAACTAGGTTTACAAATCAGGCTGTAACAACCGACACAAAAACCAAATCTTCAAGTAAAACATTGATTTGCATCTTGCAGGTACAACCCTTTCCTACAACACTGAAGAGTGCTGTAGGAAAGGAATCAATGCCCCTTCTTGAGGCATTGATTTGTGCAACTGCTGCATTTAGCAGCCTACTTTTTAAACCGACTGTCATTTTGACACCATTAAACCTGGCTCTACCCACACAACGGTGAAACTAAATTAATTCAACAATAAGACACTCGTGTGGGGCAATAAAAGAATCACAAATTAAACCCCCCCAAAAAACATGAAGACCATAAGATCTACCTGGAATCCTATTCTGCTGAATATACTTAAAAAAAAAAAAAATCTTACTTACAAGGCGACACTCATTGAAAAAGATGCACTCCTATCTCCTTACGGTCCATGAGTGGAAAAATATTTCAATGAAAGCCTCTCACACATGCCTGCTATGCCTCTCCCTCTCTCTTTCCTTTTTTTTCTTTACCACTCCTGCTACCGGAGGAGGAGGAGGAGGAGGAGTCAGGAGAGGAAGGTCATTTCATTCAGCACTCACTGCCACACTGAAGGAGACAGGGTAGGAGATAGGCTGCAGAGTGGAGGGGGAGGTGGTGGTTGCACATCTATATGATTTTTATTTGACTTGTATTCCAAATGAAGAGTTAATAAATTCAGTATTTTCTCATTTGATTCACATCCCATTCGTTTTAATATTATATGACATATAATCATGTTCGTAGCAAAAGAAAATTTTATTTCAAAAGAAATATCCTTTTGCCTTTAATTGGTCTCGTCACAGATAGTTTGGTAACACTGCCCCCTGATGTTCAGATGTTGAAATTACACTTCAAATGCTGAAATATAGGCTTCTGAGAAAGTGGGTTAGTTATCAGAACTGTATTGCTTCTTTAAAAAGACTGCTTTATAGGTCAGGCAGTCTGTATTAACACAGAATAAAAAAATAATACAATAATATTTCCAAAATGATTACATTTTATCACAATATATTGGTGAAGATGTATCAAATAGGGAAAAAAATTAGTCTTACCTGAGTGATGCACCAGGAGCGTGGCATTAGCCTTTGCTTGTTGCAGGGCTGACACCCATCTCTGACACTCTCCCTCAGATGTGGCCTTCAGATGGTAGGTTCGGCCTCCGCTGGTTAACACGAAGTGACAGGTGTCACCCACCTCGATGTGAGCTTTCGCCAGGGGAATGGTGCCTCTGCAAGTGTGCGCCATCTCTGCCTGAGTCCTGATGGAAAAACAACTCAGACTGAGATGTTAATAGAAGTTGTATGAAAGAAGAACAAAAATAAAAGTTGTCTCTGCAAAACAGACATATTTCTAAAATCTTATCTGTTGTCTTGATAGTATTACTAGCTCGGCACCTCCCTGATTACCCGTGTCACATTCCTCGAGGGAACTACAAATGGAGCTATTGCAACTATTATCTCAGTGTACCGTTTTTGTTTCCAATGAAATAACTCTAGATCTGTTTTCTCTTTTGTGTCCAAGTTCTGTCCTCTCAACACCAACTTAGTCGCAGCAGATGTACACTTTTTTTTCCTGTCAAAAGGGAGAGGTTTCTTCCTACAGTCACCACATGCTTCCTTAGATGGATAACCTAACTTACAGGTAACTTGCATTATTGAAAATGTTATCAAATTTTATTTATTTATAACTGAATCTGAATATGTCAGTATATTTGGATGACTTCAGAGATTTACCATATAATGCTTTGCCTACAACTTTGCGAAGTTTTCATTCAGTTGATTCGTTTAAGAAGCAGTTGAAGACTCATTTGTTAAATCTGGATTTCAACTGGTTTTATGCAGTAAGATTTTAAATGCTTTTGCGTTTATATGCATCTTCTGTCTGAGCTCATTACGATTATAAAGCACCTGTGGTTTTTCACCTGTGAAAGATGCTAAATGAAACAAGTCTATTTACTTCTAATCTTAGGTGACATGTTTTCATTGGATGAAGATATAATTCGGTGTGTAAATAATCTGTGAAATGTGTTTCACTTTGTGATTTCAGATACTGAAATAAATGAACTTTTCAATAATATTCTGACTGTGCAGTCACATTAAATAAAAATTGTTTTATGGAAGGATGCCACCCCAGTTGAGGTAGTAGTAGTTCCTTTTTTGTGTTTTGGGGACAATTTGGGACTCTAATTCAGTCAGAAAAGACTAAAAGTTTGATTTTATATCCCCCCCAATAATCACAAAAAAAACAAAACTGTATGACATCATCTTTACAAATGTGGTGTTAATAATTCCGTTTTCTAACTGAAGAAACACCATGTCTATTGGGTGGAGCCCTAACCGTTAGAAACCGTTACCTGTAATAGGACAGCAGGCCGTTGCTGAGGACGAACCAGCGCCGCTGGTAGCCCTTCAGGTAGTTGGTCCATTTGAAGAGCCAGCCCTTGTGGGTGTCCAGACAAGGCAGGTGGAGCCCCGGGAGAGTCGGGGAGGGCAAGCTCTTCACCAGCTCGTTCATCTGTCCCCTCTAGGCTGTCCGCGTCCCTCCGGCGGGATGGACGGGGAGACGGTGCAGCTGGTGTAGAGTTGTAAACAGCTGTACCTTTAGCTAGCAGCAGCAGCACGCAGACTGTAGTGTGCCGTTAGCCTGCAGTTGTTTCTGTGCGTCCATGTGAAGTGACGCGGACCTATTTTAAAAATGGTCACTCTGGTATTTTTTAGATAAGAAAGAAATACTGAACCACAAATACTGCATTGTAATGCACTGCTAATAAAGCCCGTAAACGCTGGAGAAGGGAGAACAAGATGACGTCCTTATTACAGGATTGTAGCTTATGGATGCACATTTCCCCTTCTCTCCCTCGCTGTACGTGTATGCGCGCGTGCGTGTGAGTTTGTGAGTGTTTGTGCACGCGCTTGACATATGGAGCTTTCTGAGCTGTGTGAAGCCGACACCCCACCCACGTCAAAAAAAAAAAAAAAAAATGCAGCAAATACTCTGAATGGTTAGTGCTCCGTTTGTGCCGTTAAAATGTTCGTTTGTGCAATTTTGGTTTCTGAGATATTAAAAATTATTTTTTAGGTCAGCCAGAGTTCACTATCCCCCCATA